GTTTGAATACAAGAAGGGAAACAATGCCTCTGTAGCCACAAAAATATCAAAGAAGTTTATGGAAATGTTTTGGATGTTCATAAGTGTCAACGATGGTTCAGTAAATTTCGTTCAAGTGGCTTTAGCCTTAAAAAACTGTGATGCAGAGGCTGACATGTTGGAATTGATATTGATGCTCTGAAGACACTTGTTGAGTCTAACCCAAGGCAACAAACTCATGAAATGGCCCTGAAATTGCATTTCTTTCATGAGACAATACATAAACATGTAAGGAATATGGAAAAACTCCATAAAGAAGGTGTTTGGGTGCCTCACAAACTCTTCAATGATAATCATTTCCAACATGTGAACATTGCTTCGTCTCTTCTGGTGAGTGAACCATTTTTTGGATAGAATTGTTACCGGTGATGAAAAATCGATTCTCTATGCGAATATTAAAGTCCAAAAACAATGGCTCAGTCTTAGTCAAAAACCACTTCCAATCCCAAAACCTGTACTCCATCCTCAGAAAGTGATGCTTTGCATCTGGTGGAACATCAAAGGAGTAATTCATTTTGAACTCCTCAATCCACAGCAAACTGTCAACGTAGAGATCTATAATCAGCAACTGGAACATTTAAATCAAGCCCTTCACTCGTCAATCAGAAAGGTGTTCTTCTTCTCCAAGACAATGCACGTCCACATGTGGCATGTTTGACGCAACACTAGATTATGGAGTTGGGTTGAGAAGTTCTCCCCCACCCACCATATTCTTCAGATTACCATATTTATCCTTCGCTGCAACACCATCTTAATGGGAAATTGTATGCAAATGTGGAAGGTGTTAAAGAGGACATAGACATGTTTTTGCTTCAAAGCCAAGTGATTTATTTAATCAGGGCATTAACAACCTGATTGTGAGATGGAAAAGCTTAATTGATAAGAATGGAGACTATTTCATTTAATAAATGTTTTGATATACAAGGTGTTTGGGTTTTTCATCCAAAAAAAAAAAGTTACAATAATTTCTTGATGACCTAATACTTTATAACTCTGTGATGATGTGGCATGTGGTATTAGTTTGAATTAAGATTTTGATTGAAAAGCTATATGGAAGTTTAATTAAGCTGTCTTTTAGGATGTGACCTTGATAGCTATACTCCAGATAAGCTACATACGGGGTATTTTACTTAACAAAAAAACATGAATTACATATTACATTCTAATCTTAAACATCAGAAATATGCAGAGCAATTTGAATGCACAATTCGAGTTCCAATGTTATGAAACCTCTGGCACTTAATTGGTTCTCAAAGTTTCCATAGTCAGTTGAGCATTTAGAAAGGAATGGTTGAAAAAAATAAAAATAAACATTATTACATTTGTTTCAATTAGAAAAACCCTGTCTATAAGTAGAAAGTTTGTAAATTAGATTGTGGCAAATGCAGTTGGGATTACTGAAAGATAAAGAAACAGAAGTGTTGGTAAATGGCATACAGAGTATTAATGTCTAGTTATGGTTACTGACAATAAAGGACAAAGACAATTCATGTACAATGTGTATAGTAAAGCTCAAGTGCCTGATGTCATGAAAGATCTTTTAATATACATATCAACTGTAACCTTCCATAGTAAGTATATAGTAAAGGAAAAACTGTAGTTCTGATTTTGTTACCAGTGACAACAAAGATGATGTATAGACACAAGATATAACTTTAATCTGAACAGTGCATTCTGTAACAAGTGAGGAACTGCCATCAGTAAAGATTAGGAGTTTGCTATTTTAACTGGGACACAGTTAAAGATATACAACACTTCACTGTGACAGACAGAAACTACTTTGATGACAATCTCTTGTATATAGTACTATACTTGATGAAAGTTAAAACCTAGGTGTGGAAAAAAAAATTGGTGGTTTGTATTAGGTATATAAATGTAGTAACTTCCATCTAAAACTGTTTGCAATTTGCAGATTGATGATGGAAAACACACTATTGTTGCTCATGTTGCTGATAAACTGAAAGGCACTAGTCTTGATAAAAGCAACTTTGAGACACTTGGATCAGCACTAATGTTTTAGTCAAACAGGTGTAGTGGTATGGCTTAAGGCCAAATACCCATCATTTGGGGTGTACATACATTGTCTTGCACACTTTGGCTCAGTCTAGCATGTACAGATTCTATGAAAGAATTGTCAGTGTTTGCTACTTTCAAACAAAGATTCAATGCTACTACAGAACTTAGTTCTGAAATAACAATTACAAAGCTTCAGTAAGGTGAATATAATCAACTAGAGCAGTGGTTCTCAAATTGTGGTTCGCAACCCACTGGTGGTCTGTCATAGTCTTCCAGGAGGCCCAAAATGAAAGTTGCTGAGGAGCAACACCACACCTGAGATCATACAAGAAAAGAACAGATGGGGTGGAACAAGTAGGTGGTCTGAAGGATCTTATGCCCTACCAAAGATGTCTGCAGACAAAAAATTTTGAGAGCCACTAAGCTAGAGGCATGCCATCAGTTCCTCAAGTTTTTGTCCACTATATTGAAACCATTCATATCTTATATATATATATATATAGTCCTTCAGCCAGCTGTGCTCATTAATTCCCCTTTACACCATTCAGACATTTCCATTTCTGAACCAATTTTTCCACATTAATAAGAACCTGCAGAATTACCAGGCCATGAAATCACACATCTCATACAATATATTTTTTGTTTGTTTTCAAATAGTGATAATCTTATAAATGTTTGGGATATAATTTATTAAGAATCTAATTGTAATCTTCATGCATGCTGAGTTTAAAATGTCTAAGAGGCTCCTGTATCAAGCTGCATGGAAATAGGTATTTATGCTGCTGCTGGTTGTACACATCATGGCAGCTGCCATATTACTGATGTTTCCAAAAACAAAAAAAGTTTAATAACTTCCATATTAAGAAGGCTAGTTTTTTCAAGGTTTGTTTCATCAAAAAAATTATGAAGATAGAATAAAGCTGTGAGCCCTGTTCAGTTCTCTTCAAATTTCACTGATCACAGATCTGACTAAAATAGGATTCACTCAATCACTAAAAATGACAACTTCTTTACAAACTGACATAAAGCCGCAATCCTAAGTGATATAGAATAACATTTTTGTGCTTTATACAGATATTTACTACTGACTTTAAAATTCTACCAATTTAGAATGTTTTTGTAAAGTTCCTAGCTTCAGAGAATGCAAGAAGTACTGGATCATCCAATTCTCAAAAACAGATGGCTGTTTGAGAAATACAGTGGAGGATGTGCAATTATCCCTCAGTTTTAGCCACTTTTAGTAAGCTTAGTGCAAAGGGGAATGCAGCAGCTTCTTCACTGCATAAGTTTTTCAGAAACTACAGGTGTGCTCTGTAAATTGGATGTTCACAATGTTATGGTTATTTTTTGTACAAAATTGCAGAAATAGTTTACTTTTCAGCAAAATCCTGCCAGTGGTAAATGTTACTGTTACCACCATTGATGTGTTACTTAGAGATGAAGAAAATCTTACAGTTAAGAGAAGCTTTAAGTAATGAAGAAGACAATGAAAGCATTCTTCTAGTAATCATGCCATTCATAGTGCAGGTTTTGATGCAGAATTTCAAAGACTACAAGAAAAGTATGTTATCTCTATAAAAGGTAAAATTGGAGGCAGATTCAAGAAATACACAATGTTATCCTAACTTATTTGGGTTACTTATTACTCATCCACTATTGTAGAAAGTAGTAATACTGAGGACTGAGATGCTAGAAGGCATTTCTGTTTTTTCTTAGAAAAACTAAGAAGGTTGAAGTTATGACAATGAGTGTTGATGGGAAAGTAGTAGTTTTTTTTGTTGGATGGAAATCTAAGAAAACAATGGCTGCTGTTATGAAGCATGATTAATAAAAGCTATAAGTAAAGCAAGTTTTTGCTATACCATAAAAGTTTGCACATTCTTAATCTACATGTCAATCTCATACCCAATGTTGCCATACAGTAAACAATACTCTGAGATAATGGTACTGACACTATGCTGTCTTTATTACTGTAACATACTGGTAATCGATTTATACACGTATTACATACTAGAGATTAAACTAATTTTTAAATTAACACAACAAGCCTGGCAGTATTAGATTTGAACAAGACTATATTTTATCTAACATTATATAGTTTTCAACAAATTTAGAATTCTTAGTGTTGTAGCAAGTTTCAAACTCAAAGTAAACATTAAATCTTGGTAAAAGAGAAATTTGACTAACTTAAGTTGTTTACTCAGAAACTGACTCACAAAACTAGTGTGGTGGTGAAGAATTGTTAGTTGCAAAAATTTGGAAAGAGTTTCATATGGCACCCCCACCCAAAAATTGTAGAATTGCCTGGATAAAAAAAAAGATTCTTAAAAGGGTTTATTTTAAGGGGCGCATTAGAAAAATTGGGGCATGGCTTTGACAAGCATTTGTATGAATACTGTGGAGAACATTATATTCTGATAAAAGTAGCTTTTTTGATGCCTTTATACAAGACATTTATAAAGTTTATCCCCAAGAATATTGTACATCTAATTAATGAAGTAAGTGGTATAATAATGTATTAAAATTATCAGATCATACTATTGATATGATTTATTAATACATAAATATTACTTTGATGATTTTTTTTTTAAATTGAGTGAGGGTGCCATATGGAACTTACCAAAAATTTTGTTGTAATGAAAGGTGTCAAGAAAATAAAAGCTTAAGACTAATATTAATAAAAGTTCCCAGTGTAATCAATTGTTCAGCTATTAATATTTTTTAACAATTATTGAACTATTATAATAAAAGCCCAACTCCAAAGTTGTATAGTAAGATTTCACAATGCTACCTATAATACTAAGAGATAATTTTAATTAATCTAGTTATTAATAATTACAACACTAAACAACTACAAGTTATAACCCCACCATTTGTTATACTTAACTTCCTAAGTTGAGATTGAACTATCACAGTGACAGTACATAATATATACTATAGATATAATTATAAGTTAGTAGTATAATCTAGATTAACACAGAAAGATTCAACTTAAGCTTTTTAAAGGTCAATAAATTATAATAACTATCAGTATCAACTTAAAAGTATACATCTTCTCTTAACATCAGTTATCATATATATACATTACTGAATTACTCTGTAGGCCTAGCTAAATAAACTCTACAAAGTACTGTAGTACTTTGTTCAACTTAAGTTTAACTTTCACTTTAAAAAGTTTAACTTACACTGTTACTGTTAGTTACTTACACTTACCTTGATAAGATATTATATTTTTAACCTTAGTTTAATTTAAAAATTAAAGATCAGAAGGTTGCCTATGATGTCTAATCTTCAATTTATGTTCGAGTTAAATTAGCCTCAAACTTAACTAGATAAAATTTTAAAACTAATTACAATTATTGACTACTACTGAAATACTTTACCAGCTCTTCCCTATGTTAATGTAACACTAATCAGTAATTGGAGCTTCACTTTTTATTTTAACTGGGTGGGTGAAACACCAACACAAACTGTGTTACAGTCCCTGACCGTATTCTCGCCAACTATGGTAAGCCTAATATTTGATAAAGAGGGCGAGGTCGACGTATGTCTCTGACGTCACTTTTCTTGGCAGCACAGGGAAGATCAAAATATATGCAGTTCCGTTACTGTTAAGTAAACATGCGGGTGTCCCTGTAATATTAAAATACATTATAATACAGTCAAACAATAATTGCAGGGTAAAAAGACACACTTGAAAAAAAATAACCCTTAATCATTTTTCTACATTACTCCTAAATTTTCTTTTTTTCTAAAAAGAATGGAATGGAAATAGAAGTCTGAAATCAGAAACAGGTATATTTATTTGAAATGCCATCTGTTGACAATGTATAAAGATAAAACAGTAATTTCCACAAAGAAAGAAACAGCATATTTATAAAATATGTGTTAAATTGCTAGTTAAAGTTAAAAACTGTTAATTTATTTTAATTGTAAAAAAACAACTTAGCTTTCTGTAGAATATAAACAAGTGTTTTTCATTATAAACATGTTTAGGGTAGAAACAGACGAGCTGCTGCAGAAACGTCTTCACTCAAAGGGGTGAAACTCATTAACACTGTGTTTGTTTGTTTTGGAATTTCGCGCAAAGCTACACGAAGGCTATCTGCGCTAGCCGTCCCTAATTTAGCAGTGTAAGACTAGAGGGAAGGCAGCTAGTCATCACCACCCACCGCCAACTCTTGGGCTACTCTTTTACCAACGAATAGTGGGATTGACCGTCACATTATAACGCCCCCACGGCTGAAAGAGCGAGCATGTTTGGTGGGATGCGGATTCGAACCCGCGACCCTCAGATTGTGAGTCGAGCGCCTTATCCACCTGGCCATGCCGGGAGCACTGAGCCGAAAATAATATTTTTACTTATTCGTATTTACCTATTAATACAGTCATTTTTAGTGCAATTTTTTCAGTAATTTCAAATTGGAAGTGTGCATCAGTAATTAGAAAAAGTCCGGGTATAAAGAGCATCTCCAAGTTAATGCAGTGTTCACCAGAACAGCCGGTTTTTGGAACATTCCGGTTTTGGGATCGCTGGATTTGGGATCGTCTACCTGTAATAGAAAAAAAATGTAGTTCCTAGAAAACGTTGAGAAGGTAGCAACCAAAATGTTATTCAGTTTGAAAAATTCGTACTATAAACACTTATTTCTCATTAAGAATGGAGAACTATAAGTGATATACAGTCTTGGCCAACATTTTTGCATATTTTATAACAAATAAGATCATTATTATTAAGATGAAATACAAATACGTTTAGCTCTGTCAAACTGAGGAATACATGTTATATTGGACATCTACATACGTAATTTGTATAATGAGACAGGTTCGATGGATATCATGAGCAACTGATTAGAGCAACAAACAATTTTATCAGACATCTGTAGAAAGATGTATAATTCAGCATTTCACCAATCAGAACAAAATCTTACCAAAACATAACATAAAAGTATTACAAATAGTGTCTGTAGCCTTATATCAGTTCATAGTAAACATTAAGTGCTTGGTTGATCCTCCTCCAGTGCGACGTGGTATGCTGTCGATGAGTTTGTTTGTTTGTTTTGGAATTTCGCGCAAAGCTACACGAGGGCTATCTGCGCTAGCCGTCCCTAATTTAGCAGTGTAAGACTAGAGGGAAGGCAGCTAGTCATCACC